CCTGAAAATATTACAGCTCTATGCAACAGTTTGGTGTACTTGGATAAGACCTGGATGAAGAGGTTTGCCTCCTCATCCCAATCATCTGCCATACATTTTCTATCTGATGTATCTAGTTTGGACCTAGGGCTACTCCAGGCTTGGAGAAATATGGTGTAGATCCAGAAACCACTTCCAAAATTCAGAAGCTAGCCCAGCACTGCTTGGCCACCTGGAGATGTGACATTATGGCTCTTCACCCTTGCCTTCTCTCTGTCAGCTAACCAACTAGTAAGTGGGATGGTTGCCGCCACCACCACCACCACCAGCCTTTCTTGAAGTGCTCTTCCAAAGCAGCTGGGTTCTGGAACCAGTATTTTGTTTCCTGAGTGGGCACCCCAAAATTAGCCATCCCTGGATTACTAATGTGGATGAATATCAAGTATATTAGGAGTTCATATTTGTCACTAATCTCTCTCTCCAGTTACATCAATGTTGAAATTTGTCATTGAGATTGCCCTCTGCACAGCTTAAGCACGTGGGGGGGGGGGACTTCGACAGTCTCTTCTGAATGTGATTGCTCTGGCTAATTTACAGCATCATTCACAGATTTGCTTCTTCAACATTTATCCGACTTGTAGATCATTCGTACTGTTAATATACTTTAGTTCTGTGCTCGGCCAGATGGCAGATCCAATCATAGAACCCTAAAAAGTCTTTCCCTCAGTGATTAAAAGCACTTGGATAAATACTGTCTAAGCCTAGTGGCCTATTCTAATTTTCTTGCTTGTTTAAGCACCCGCTCTTCAGTTGCGTCAATGTCCCATTGTTACCATAAAAAGAGTGCAGTGTTCTGTATCTCTCCAGCATCATCTGTGGAGAGATTGCTTTTAATTCCATGTATTAATGGTTTTGCAAAATTATTAAATCATCTTTGGTCATTTAATGATGGGGCCTAAAAATATGGAATATTTTCCGGCCTGCCTTATTCCACAAGAAACTCCACTGAGAAAGCTTTGGCCTGTTTGACTCCAGCCCTGATGTGAGATGTGTTGTACTACAGTCTCCGAAAATATCTTCTGTGCAAAGGCCCTCGCCAATGTGCTATGAAGCTATTATGGTACTAGTGGTAGGCATGATACAGGAAGAGTCCAGTGAAAGTTTGCCTGAGGTCAGTGAGTAGCCTGAATTGGTGTTACATAACTGGCTGGTTTTATACACATATGCACCCAGTTCGTGCTGTTTTACTCAAAGGAAAGATACTTCTTGTATTCCCTCAACAAATAACATGCCGAAGTGTGCTCCTATCAGTTACTGGGCTAAATATTTCAAACCCTTAGTAGTGTTGCTAACAATAAACCTTCATTTTCAGCCTGTCTTTCCCTTCCCATCCTCCCCCCAGCACTATCTTGATGTAGGACCAGCTTCCCTTATCTGTCTTTGTATGGGCCAGTAAACAGGGCTTTGTCTCATTACAAAAGTGAAAGAGTCAGGAAGACTACACTGAATACTGAGTTGAATGGCTTGTCATGTCCAGAAGCAGATTGGGATGTTAAAACAGCCATGGAGCAATGGAGCCATGGAGCAAGCTTTCTAGGGGCTCCTTGAATCCTGTTGTGCCTGTTATCATCACTGTGACCTGGACTGAGCCCAGGGGTCCCTATGGCACAGCTGGTACCACAAAGAGCCTCTTGGCTCAGTTTCCTTCTGTCCACCCTCCTGTGCAGCATCCCACCAGGAACTTTCAAAGTAAGTTAGCTGGTCTCTCTTTTCCTGGCCTTAGCCAGTAGCTGGCTAGATCATTTGTCAGGAACCCCAGTGATTGAGCAGTGTGTTTTTGTCTACAAAAGGATCGTGTTGTTTTAGTATTCTGTCAAAGAAAGAGCTTTAATCACATTTAATTTCCTTGTAAAAAGGCCTGCCCTGAGCTGGATGGTCCAGGCTAACTTGATCTCGTCAGATCTTGGAAGCTAAGCGGGGTTAACCTTTGTATTAGTGATTGGATGAGAGACCACCAAGGGAGTCCAGGGTTTTGTTATACAGAGGCAGGCAATGAAAACATACACACATGAAGCTGCCTTATACTCAGGGGTATTTTTGGGCAGGAGCGCACAGGAACGGAGTTCCGGCTGGCTCCCCAAGTTGGCCACGCCCAGCAGGAACTCATTAGCATAATAGGCCACACCCAACAGCAGGAACTCATTAGGATTGGCTGCATTAGGGGTGTGGCCTAACATGCAAAGGAGTTCTTGCTACAAAAAAGGCCCTAGGTTTTGACAACAAACATGGTAAACAGAATAAGAAGCAAAAGGTGGGTGTGGCTGCATGAGCACACTTCTGGTAACATGGGGGTGCGGCCTAATGTGCTAATGAGCTGTGCTGTCAGGGGTGTGGCCCAATATGCTAATGAGTTCCTGCTGTTGGGTGTTTGGCCTATTATGCTAATGAGTTCCTGCTGGGCTTTTTCTACAAAAAGAGCCCTGCTTATACTGAATCAGACCCTTGGTCCATCAAGGTCAGTACTGTCTACTCAGATTTGGCAGCGGCCCCCCCAGGGTTTCAGGCAGAGGTCTTTCACATCCGCTACTGCCTGGTCCTCTTTAACTGGAGATGCCAGGGATTGAACCTGGGACCTTCTGCATGCCAAACAGATGCTCGACTGCGGAGCCATGGCAAACCACCTTTCAATGTGGTTGAAAACGTTATGAAGGTCACCATAAGTTAGCTGCCTCTTAATGGCACTTTAAACACTGAAAACAGGACTGACTATACCAATAAGACATTTAAGCCTGTTTTAAATTGCTTACCAAAAGTACACTTCACTGGTCAGACCAAGATGCTGTCAAACACACCACCTCTGTGGCTAGGTACCGCCCCTCTCTATCTTATTTGGAAATATTCCCAGGACCTTGAGCCGCCCTTCTCTTCCCTTGTTCCAGTTGGAGGATATACCTGGCTCAGTCCCTCTTGTGCTGTACCCTCTCTCCAAGTCTGGTCAGAAAATACTCCTTTCTGAATTAAGCCTCTTGCCCTATAACTGGGGCCAAAGTCTGCCCCGAAATCATTCCTACTCTTGGTATGTACCCTGGGACATGGGCCTCTACTCTGTTGGGCCTAAGTGTGCATTGCCCTGAATGCACTTCTGACTGGCTCCAAACCCCAGTTTGTGTAGCTGCAAATGTGCCTGTTCGGGACACACAAAACACATCCCTGCCTCTTTTCCTCTTTGGATTATTTGCAGACCTGATACTTGAGCCCTTGCTTTGAGAGCAGAACCTTTGCCTAGGCTACATGCAGCCATCCCTGCTTTCTCTTCCGCCTTACCACTTCTGACTGGCTCCAAACCCCAGTTTGTGTAGCTGCAAATGTGCCTGTTCGGGACACACAAAACACATCCCTGCCTCTTTTCCTCTTTGGATTATTTGCAGACCTGATACTTGAGCCTTTGCTTTGAGAGCAGAACGTTTGCCTAGGCTACATGCAGCGATATCTATAGCCATCCCTGCTTTCTCTTCCGCCTTACTTAGTTGGGGCGCCTACTTCTCCCTCTTGAGTGGAATCTGTTCAACAGTGTGGTGGTGGTTGGAATATTTGGTTTCTCTTAATGAACTTTGTAGTATTGGGCATTGTGTTTAGTGTGTTGTTATTTTACCTTCTTGACTTTGCTGCAGAGCTAATGTTGCACACATAGCTGAGCCCGATTCATACATGAAATGTAACAAAATAAGAATGTAGCAGTAAAGTTCTGAGGGGATTAAAATGGACTAAACTACTTCAGATGGTATGTGAGGGGAGTCACATTTTTTTAATGCTTCCAAAGGTAAAGTTCTCCATGTAAGTAGGAAAACAAATCTGCTGTATCAAGGAGATATGTTCCAGCTTAGTCTGATCCCTCCTGTTCCATGGAATGTTCCCCTTTTTAAGTAGGGGAGCATTGAAAAACTTGACCCCTCACCTGTAAGGTTGAAGTACTAGTACAGTTCTGCCACCTTAAAACTGTACTGCCTCATTCAGCTAGGCCTCAGTTAGTACAACTGAAGCAGGGAGATGTATTCTACAGCTGTCCATGTTGCACCTCTATAGTTGCAGTGTATATACAATAATTGCTTAAGGAGTAGTATAAGGTGCTGCCTACTTCTCCCTTGGAGGCCCTAAAGCCTGAATTAAACATGAAGCAGGCAGGCAGGCAAGAAGAACTTGCCTATGCAGCCGTGTATGTGTCAGTTGGCTCATTTAAACTGGGCCAGAGGCACTACATGTGAAATACTGCAGTCCAGACTACAGATCTTTGCTGTCCTAATATTGTACATATAGAGATGAGGGTCTTGCTTAATGAGATGGTGGACCCATAAGCACATGTAAAATTGTGTTGCCTGCGGGTGGCACGTTTAAATTGGGCCTTGCTTTTTGGGGTGAATCTGCCACTAACCATGATTAGCAGCCCAATAATATTTATGCCAGCTGTGTCAAGTAGATTACTTCAAGTGCAAGTAAAAATTTGTGTCTGAATAACAGATATACACGTTCTTTTTTGTGGATGAAATGCAGAACAAAATAGCTCTGATTTTTAATAATGGTTTCTGACAGGGGTCTTGTTGTAGAAAAAGAGCTGCCGGAGCTCATTAGCATAACTCATTAGCATAACTTATTTGCATATGCCACACCCCCTGACATCACCGGAAGTGACAGAAGGCCACACCCCCTGACATCACCGGAAGTGTGTCAGAAGGCCCGGCTACTTACCCTCCTGCTTCATCCTCATTCCCAAACGGAATGAGGATCGAAGCAGAGGGCGGGGTAAAGAAGGGGGCGGGGCTTCACCACGTGACCGCCCCGCCCCCTAGAGGTTCTCTTCCGGAGCTCCGTACCTGAGAGCTCCCCCCCGACTAGAGCCCTGGTTTCTGTGAACTAGTAAGGTCCCTACTATTTTTCTTCCATGAACATTTATACAAATTATTCTGGTCCCTTTCTCATCTGAAATTCCAAGAAACTGAGATATAATACTCTGTTTCCTTTTGTAGGTCATGAACCTGGACTTACACAGCTGGTGAATTACTACAGAGGAGCTGATAAACTTTGCCGCAAAGCTTCTTTAGTGAAGTAAGAATTTTTGTGTTTGTGGGTTGTAAGGGCATTTTGAAACATACAAGAAACCTTTCTCCCTCTGAGGTGGAGGACATCTTGTGGGGGGTGATTCCCATCCATCACTTAGGGAGGCAGGACTAATTTCAATTACTTCCTGTTTGCTGTAATGGGAGTCACTCTAGGCTCACTTCTTTTCCTGCCTCAGAAGGGAAAGCAGCTAGGTGTAGGCTCTGCCTAACCCTATCTTTCTGAGTTAACTTACTTTCACTTTCTCCTTCCATCTTTGCTGTTCCCTCTCTCTGAAGAAACTTAAGGGGAAAAAATCCTTTTCTTCTTCCTTCCTATATGTTATCCTGTTTTCTCCCCCCACCCCCTTTGGAGGTTGAGCATTGCTGGGCCAGTTGCTCTCTTAATGGGAGGGGATCTCACAGACCGCCTTCCATGGCATTAAGAGAGGATAGCAATGGATTTCTCTCCACTCCGGAGATAGAGGCCGTGGCAGTGGCCGATGCTCAACCAGCAGAGCAAGGCGAGGATGGCATTCCAAAGTGTGCCAAAGAGCCGCACACCCCTGCAGCATTTACGGAGCCCGTGCCAGCCTCAGTGGCCATTTTGGAGTCCACTGGTCACTCTATGCTTTAAGATGGGAATGGCGAGCAGAGCCTAATCCCGCACATGGGCACCCCGAAACCTATGGTTCAAGGGGGTTCATCAAGCTAGGCGTAATTGTGTAATGCTCAAGAGGCCAAGGAAGATGACGAGTTGCAGAGTGGCGAGCAGAGCCTAATCCTGCACATGGCACACCCCAAGACCTATGGTTCAATGGGGTTCATTGAGCTAGGCGTGATTGTGCCGATAATGCTCAAGGGGACGAGGAA